TGTAGACCATACTGTGCACTCCTCTTACAGACCCATGTAGATCAGACTGTCTTCTACTCTTACAGACCCACGTAGATCATACTGTGTACTCCTCTTACAGACCCATGTAGACTATACTGTGTACTCCTCTTACAGACCCACATAGATCATACTGTGTACTCCTCTTACAGACCCATGTAGACCATACTGTGTACTCCTCTTACAGACCCATGTAGACCATACTGTGTACTCCTCTTACAGCCCCATGTAGATCATACTGTCTACTCTTACAGACCCATGTAGATCATACTGTGCACTCCTTACAGACCCATGTAGACCATACTATGTGCTCCTCTTACAGACCCATGTAGATCATACTGTCTACTCTTCTTCCAGATGCATATAGTTCTCACAGACCCATGTAGACCATACTTTGTGCTCCTCTTACAGACCCATATAGATCATACTGTGCACTCCTGGTTCTCCAGGGCTTATTTCCTCTGCCAGCCTGCCTTCCATGCTTGGTGGCCCTGCTCTAGGCAGTGGGACTCTAAGCTGTTTTTCTCATGCCATATTGATGCTCCACAAGTTTTTCAGACTGGTGTGGGGGTTTTGACATGAGTGAGTTAGAAATATTAGCACAAGAAATTTACCCAAGGAAGTGATATTTGAGTTGCATGTATTTGAAGAATAAGACATAAGATGATCAAATAAGAGCCTATGAAAAGGGAGAGAGCCACAGGTCAGAGCTGAGAGCATGAGCCACCAGATGGCCCTGTGCAAGGGTGTGTGCCCATCGTGAGCTTCTGGGGCACCGGACACATGATGGGATCAGGAGATCTGTCAGAGCTGAGGCCAAATCAGAAAAGTAAAAAAATACTAAGGATTTGGATTTAATCAGTTGTGAAAATGCTCACAGATCATTAAAAGCTTCTAAGTGAAGAAGTGATACTGTCATATTTATGTTCTAGAAGATGATGCTGATAATGTTATGAAAGGGAAGAAACTAAGGTCCAAAGTTTGAGGCTGTTTCACTGTCAGGTGATAGGTGTCAAAGTGGGGGTAGAGACAGGGAGTGGGAAGCATCGACTGTGACAAGATAATTGTACTCAGCAATTCTCAGGACATCAGAAGTAGTCAGACAGCCTCACTGCTCCCACTGGAATGGTGCTTAAGTGGTCAACTCCATCATTATTTAAGTTAGGATGCTGAGTAAGGCCATGTTTAAGGACAGAAGATGATGTGTTTGATTCTTCATGGGTTAAAAATATATCCTAGGAAGCATGTGATAAAGCATGTCTTCTCTGATATTAAATTTGGTCTGTGGTTTACTCACACCAGGGAGGGACTGGGGAATGGTCACTTCATACAGCACATAGTAGATGTTGAACAAAATGAAAAATAAAATTCTGAAAAAATCCTCAAGAAAAGGGATACTCTCAGAGGGAGAGCTGTTCACACAGTCTTATAAAGAGGTTCATGAAAATGTTGGGTGATGTAATATGACAGGTTCTAATAGGTAGTTCTGCTTATTCACACATGTTTTGAGGTTAATTACAAGGCTGGCTGAGTCCTTCCTCACCAGAAAGCTGTCTGTGGTGCTGTGTGCTAGATGGTCTCATCGGTCATCCAAGATCTAAAGGCAGTTTACTGATAGAGTTTAGATTAGGTTTCAGTGATTTTGTGTTTTTCCCCTAATATATGAAACTGCAATTTTGATTTTACAGATTGATTTTCTTAAAATGACCATGAGTTTCAAGCATTAAAAAGACAAGCATTATGTAAATAAATTCTATGTTATATTGTTATTGTTTTATAATAATCTTCAATATATTTTTAAAAAACTTAAATTTACTCCCCAAGTAAAAATATATTAGAATTTCATTAGCTTATACCAATCATTTGAGGCATTTTATAGATTGCTCAGAAAGATAAAATAAAGAAAGAAAAACAGCAATACTCATTCTCAGACGTAATTTCTAATGAACTTCTGAATATTATTGATGATTATAAAATATTTATTAATTTTATAAAATCTTCACACCTTTGGCTATTTTTTGGTTTGACTATATGTTTTTGATGTCTCTGGTTGTTAACAGAAGTTTCTTGGAAACCAAAATTTGGATTAATTAACATAAAACAACTTGTATAATTGGAATTAAGATCTATAAAAATGTGTGTGATAAAAATATAACTTTATATTACCATAAACTAGTTGGTAAGAGGAAAAATAGGCAAATTTGCCCCACTGTATGTGTTTATTGAAAACTTTCTGTATGGACGGTTTTTGTTTTTCTATCATAAACGTCTGTCCAAAGCATTTACTGTTTTATAAAGAATACTTTCAGGCCTCAGGCTTTAAGGAGTCATTCTTCTTAAGGCTTAGAAACAGGATCCGCAGAAACTGTTTCACCTCTTGTCTTGACTTAACCTAAACCTCTTTCTGAAGTTATCTAACCAAACTTAGCTGGCATGATATTCTCCAGCTTTAGGTCCTTCACTTTTTCTTTTTCTTTTTTTTTTTTTTTTTTTGCTGTAAGTTGTCATATAATGACTTTGCTTTCCTTGACTTGTATGAGAGTCTATGTCAATGGTTCTCAACCTGTGGGTCACAACCCACAGGAACTGTATTAAAGGGCCTTAGGAAGGTTGAGAACCACTGGTCTATGTGGTCTGCCTTTCTTGGAGCAATCCTGCAATCACACAGCTGCATTTTCAATAGGAGATAAAAAGTTATTTTGTAAAAAGGACCAGGTTCCTGCACCTGCTGGCATAGCAGCAGTGACAGTCTCACAAATTTTCGTTTCTGTTTTTACAGTAGATCTTATGCTGAATCATTTATATTGAAGTGGCAGGCAGCTGTAGGGACAGGCCTCAGGCTGTATACACACCGCACAATTCTGCACTTTCTTGTAACTTCCCTGCTCCCTGGGAACATTCAGCACCACGAGTGACGCTGCGTATGAGTCTCACATGTGACTCACGGTTTGTGGTGTTGCACTAAACACAACAAAATCTACTCAAGGACCACAGAGATCACTCTTAGTGGGATACCAGTTTGCCAGAGCAGCAGGTTGCCCATGTGGAGATGATTTACGTCATGTGCTTTTTATCAAATACTCGCACTTGCGCTCACCCCAGTAGCAGCAGGAGGTTAACTACAGAACTAATCCAGGAGCACAGTGTTTCCTGCAGCTAATTTGGGGAGTTGAGATTTAATGCTCCATTCAGTGTTCAGTTTGCTTACGGTTCTCTTGACTGTGAATGGTGTCAAGTATAATCTATAAGGTATTGTATAAGTTTTGATGAATTTTAACTTTTTATAATATATTCATATATTTTATGGAACTAAATGGTAAACTGGTTAATATCTGCATATATTTTATGCATTCACAGCCTATTTAACTTCTTCTTAATTTTTTTATATTTCTAAGGTATAAAATTATCTGTAAGTTGTCTCAATATTGTGCAAATCTCTAAAAAGTTTTATAATATATTGATAAAAGTCTAGGTATACGTGGACTTCATATGGTTCAAACCCATGTCATTCAAATGTCAACTGTGTTGTATAATTCAATCAACTAAAGTCATTTATGAATATTGAATGAGGGAATAATTTTGTCATGAAGGTGACAGTCTTTAATCACCATAGTTATATATAAAATCCCTTTGAAAAGCCTGAATTATAATTCAAATGATATTTTCTGAAATAATATAGATAAAATAATCACATTTATTTTATTGGTGACTTTAATTATAATTCTATTAGATTACTTTGATTATATTCTTCTCTAAATCTTTCTGAATATTTAAAAATGTGTTTAAATTTTTCTAGAAGGGGCACTTATATGGTATTTTATTTCTTTCAGATAAGAATGTGCCTTTCGATGAGAAGACTTCATCTTTCTATACCGGAGAGCAGAGTTTCTATGTCTAAGAAATAAAAAGCCACTGTATAATGGGGGAGGGTATTTAAGTTACTTACATTATGGCAACCTTTAATTTGTTGTTGCAATAAATATTGTATCATTTTGTTATATCTTTGTATGTAGACGTGCTCTATTAATGAGCTCAGAGTTGTTGGGGATAAACTGTGCTACAATAGTTTCCCTGTTTGAAAACTGCTTCAAAACAGGGTGTTTTTGGATCAGTTTGGTTTCTTGCTTACCACAAGACTGTAAAGTGTTTTATGTACTAATCAGTTCCTGTTAATTTTTTTTTTTTTTGCCGTTGTCATATTTTAAAGAAGCGAAAATCCCAACAAACAACTGGTGTGTAAAAATAATTAAAATGTTTCTTTACCAAGATGTATTTCCCATTTTTGTGGGGAAAAGAAACCAAATTTATTATTTTGTGTTGGGGTTTTTTAAAAATTAATATTATTGTATGCTAACAATAAATATGATTTAAAATTCTTTTAACATGGTACAATGTTTATAAAATAAACCTAAAGACTATACAATTATTTATTAATATATGATTTCTAAAAATATCTGTCATAAAAGGATTATTATATTTTAGCAACTTCCATGTACAGTAAGAAATTTATTTTGATTAGTAGCTATTTCATAAAATCTGTGAATTTCAAAGCTATTTTCTTTGTTTATAGTGTAGTGAGATAGAAGTAACAATAAAGGCGTGTTTCACCGCCTCAATCATGTTAGGGTATGGGAGAGGGAGAAATTAAAATAAATGCACCACCTTTGGAGTCAGACCCGTGTGCAGAAACCAACTCTATTCTCTCCAAAAAATTACTTAACCTCCTGAGATCAATTCTTCACATTATTAGAGTCAGAAGAGAACTTACAGGAAGAGCCCGGGTCACAGATTCAGTGGCTTACGGGGCCCAGGGAGCGCATTCCATGTGTAAGTCACAGCGAGTCAGCAGATGGTTCCCGGAGTGGGTGGCCCCAGGGCTCACTTCTCACTCGTGCTCCCTGTTTATCGCGTTTGTGGGGACCGTGACCCTGCTCC